TAAGGAGGACGGGCATTTTATTGATATTATGTATTTATTATATGGAAGCAAACAAAGTTGGAGCAACCCCTTCCTCGAGTGCGGAAAGTAGTCTCAGGGTCTCGGTCTATAAACAGCTAGAGAGAGAGAGAGGGAAGTAACAGGCGGTTCCTTGGGCAATCGCGTTACTTGTAAAGCTAAGAGCGGCGTGTGGCCTTACCGTGAAATAACGTTGAAAGAAATGTGACAGTCTTCAATGGAGCAGTGTTAACATACAGCGAAAGCGTATTCATTTATACATAATATGTGTATAAATAGTTTGCAAAGACAGTTTGACCGTGTCACGAACATATTTTTCCCCCCAGACACATCTCTTTTGACTGTACAGTATCACATACGACTCGAAAATCCGGACTTTCTTAGTATAGAATATTTTTCCTTCAAGACTTTTCATTTTTAGTTTGCATCGTCTTTTTTTTTTATTGTCTTGCTAGCGTCAAGTGCACGTTGTCTTTCTTTTGTGTGTGTGTGTGCGTGTGTGCGCGCGTGTGTGTGTGCGCGCGCGTGTGTGTGTGTGTGTTAGAGAGAGAGAGAGAGAGAGAGAGAGAGAGAGAGAGAGAGAAAGAGAGAGAGAGAGAGAGGGGGGGGGGGGAGAGAGAGGAGTTTTCCTTTTAAAAAAGTGTTTGTTTACGCCCTCGCTTGAACTTCAAAAGTGGCCTTTCGGGGGGAAAAAAAAAAAGAAAACAGCGTAAAAATAGAGTACAGCGAATTACATCATCGAAAGGCATAACACAGGCACAGCGGGCATCCCAAACGTAGGCACAAACTGCTAGCTGTCTGTTAATCCAGTTTAATGCTATTAAATAGCTGGGCCTTTCTGTCCGACCGCTTTGAAGATACTATTTACATAGGGTTTTTAAAAATTAAAACCCCCACTTTAGTTCGCGATAGTGTGTGTTGTGTGTGTATATGTGTGTGTGTTTGTGTGTGTATATGTGTTTGTGTGTCTGTTAAAATTGTGTGAGTGTACGCACGTATGTTAGGTTCACTCCCACCCTCTCCTTAACATAAAAAAAGAAAACAACATAAAACGCCGAAACAAACAAAAACGACAGAAAGAGCAATAAATGACAACTGACACCCCC